TTTTTTAAAAATCCCAGGAATCAAGGAAAAAATCCCACAAATCAAGTAATGAAGTTTGAATCACGCTCCTCGACCATTAGTTCAATTGTTGTGATAAACAAAGCATACACTTGAATTATAGTATTACAATTGAATTTTATAAACTCATATAATAAATTGAAGTTAGGGAGAAAATGAATCAATTATAGTATTACAATATAAACTCATACAATCAAGTGAATTATAACATTACAATTGAATTCTATAAACTCATAAAATCAAGTGAGAAAATAAATGAACATAATATTACCATTGAATTATATAAACTCATACAGTAAACTGAATTCCACTATCACAGACAACTAATGACGTTTCATCCAAAGACATTATCATCTCATCTGATGTCTCTGCTAGGCTCTATCTTCCAAAAAAACACTACTACTGTCAACCAAAAGCTCCCCGTATTAGTCTATAACCACGGTGGAGGACTAGTTATCGAATCCCCCTTTACCAATTGGACTCATCGTTACGTAAATCTCTTAGCTTCACAATTAAACGCCATTATCATATCCGTAAACTATAGGTTAGCCCCAGAGAATGACGTGCCAACAATCTATAATGATTGTTGGACCGCACTTCAATGGGTCACTTCTCATGCTAACAAAGACGACTCTGTTATAACCAATACTTTTACCAATTATGACCCATGGTTAAAAACCTATGGTGATTTTGATAAACTCTTCTTAGGCGGAGACAGTGCTGGTGGTAATATAGTTTTTACTATGACAATGAGAGCAGGTAAAGAAAGTTTAAATTGTGGTGTGGGAATATGTGGTTCAATTCTTGCTTTTCCATACTTCTTGATAGAAAACATCGATCAAGAGGGTATACCTTATAAGATTTGGATAAACATATGTCCATCGCTAGAACAAGGATTATCTGTTATGGATAGTCCAATGATTAATCCACTTGCTAAAAATGTACCTAGTTTATCGGTGTTGGGTTGCTCAAGACTTTTGGTTTGTATCGCGGAGAAAGATGAGTATATTTCTGGAGAAACATTGATTCGATTTGTTGAAGGTGTGAAGAAAAGTGGATGGAATGGAGAATTGAAGGTTATTGAACTTGAAGAAGTTGGTCATTCGTTTCAAATATATAAACCTGAATGTGAGAAAGCTAAAGATATGATGATGCATTATGCTTCTTTTATTCACAACAAGTGATTAAAATCAAAATAAAATAAAATGTTATTGCAACATATTGCAACTAACTAGCTATTATCTTCCGTTTCAGATTGTTTGAAAATTATAATTTTGAATGTCGTACGTGAATTTGTGTTATTGAGCTACTTTGTCTTTTTGTATTATGTCAATGCATTGTTATTTTTTTCAAGGTGACCAAATTCGTAATGACTTTACTATTTAGAGTTGATATTTTCTAGTTCAAAAAGTAATGCATAATATTCTTGTTGTTTACCGAATGAGACATACTGAATTGAAACAAGAATGTATAGATCTCTCATTTAATTATGATCATGCTAAAATCCCATATTAGTGGGCTTGAGCTAGCCTTCGATATATGTCATGAACAAGATACACGAAGATCAATAAATCAAATTATAATACAAGCAGAAGTTCTAGGATTCACTTAAAAAGTCTTGGATTTACACAAAAGAAATCCATAATTTCCCAACAAAGAGTTGTTTAATCCATTTTGGGGTAACAAAGTATGGGAGAGACCCAAAGTAGTAGTAACACGATAACAAGAACAACTTGTTATTGTAGCTCAAATCTAGGCAGACAAGCTAGATCTCTAAGAATTACCAAGTTGCTCAAGGATTTTGCCTTTATGCTTGTTCTAACTCAAATAATGGAGTTAATATCTCAAAACGTCACTTAACTTTGAGAAACTGTTTAGCAAAGTCATTAAACTTTGTTTTGTATCAATAAAATCACTCAACTTACACTTTTATATCATTAAACAAAGTTGAGTTGGGTTGTTTGAAGATATTAAAGTGTAAGTTTGAGGATTAATCCATTAGTTGAAAAACCTTGAAGATTGGCAGAGCTGGATTGTTTGAAGATTTTGGTGTGTGTAGCGGAGAAAGATGGGCTGAGAAATTTGGGGATTTGTTATGCAGAAGCTGTGGAGAAAAGTGGGACATCAGTAGAGGTGATTGATGTTGAAGGAGAAGGACATTGCTTTCAGATTTTGAATCCTGAGAGTGACAAAGCCAAAAATCTGATTAATTGTATTGCTAATTTTATCAAATTGTGAAGTGTGTTTATGTATTGAGGATATTAAATGAAATAATATCTCCATTCGCCTTATTATGATCAGACAATAGCACAGATATGATCAAACTCAATGGGCGAAAGATATGGTTATGTCCCGATCCTTCAATTAAAAGAAATTCTCATGCCTAGGACTAGTGTCAGCAAATAGCCAAAGTCTTTTGTGTACTTAACATCCACTTTTTCTAGTTGAGTACCTTGTGAGGGCCTTTGACAAAAAGATAAGGCGATATTGCAGAGAAGCAAAGGTTTCCAACACCACATTTTTTTACTTTCAACTTCAAATACTCGATTTATTCATGAGAATTTTTACCTGGAGCATAGTTATATTTGTCACTGTCGCAACCAAAGGCGGATCCAGGATTTAGAGTCTTTGGGTGCCAAATAGATTCATCGGCTAAATTAACTTTATGTTTGATCCGAATTACTCGTCTTTTCGATTTATATGACAAATCAATCAATAAAATAGAAATAAACATGTATAAATTTTTAAAAAAGTGCTTGTAGGTTGTTTACGAAAATTTTATGGTGGTTCATAATGTTCATTTTTCAAAAATCAAATAAAGATAAATATATTTATATTAATTTTGATTTAAAGTCAAATAATTATGTATTTAAAAAAGATTTAAACTAACATAAATTAAGATATCTGTTTTTAACCTCATACAAAATCAATTGTATTATTTTTAGGATAAACATAAATAGTTATTTAAAATTACTTGTCAATCAACAAAAATACAAATATAATTAACCAATTTTTGTTTTTTCATTTTACTCTCTCCATTAATTTATAGGTTATTTTTTGTTCTCGAAATTCAAGCTATAAGGCATATTTTTTTTTTCCTTTTTTAAAATTATATAAACATGATAAGAATTGCAACTAGTAATGTTTTTGGTTGAATTGCAACTTAGCGAGAAGGTAATATTTATGAACAAACATAAGTTGCAATTCTTATCATGCTAATGTAATAATAATAAATACTTTGAAATATTAATTAAATTTCACGTAGCTTGAATTTCAAGAATAAAAAAATATCATATAAATTGAGAGAGTATGTATATATGTAGGAGTTTATGGATGTATTTTTGATTTTGGGTTACATGAAAATAGTACCAAAACTTATATAATTATTGGTTAAAATTACTGATGATCTTTCTGTTATATTTTCTTGTTGGAGAATATTTGATGTATTTAAGTGTTTATGAAATTATTGAGAAGAGAAAAAAAAAAATGTATCCATTTCTATTAGTTGTTAACTTTTTCTTTTACTTTTTAAAAAATTATAAATAAAAATGATAGTTTAAGATACACATTTTTGCATATTTTTACAAATTTTGTTTACACTTTCAAGAAAAATTAATTGTTTGGACAATGAAAATAAAAAAAATGTTGTTCAATTTTGTTAATTGACAAATAATTTTTAATAACTATTTTTAGTAAAATGTAAATAATTAATATAGGATAGAAAAATAATATCTAATGTTAGGAGTAAGATGAATTAGGCTAAATTTCATAAGTATAAAATTATTTAAAGATAAAAAAAGTAGCAAATAATTTGAAACAATGGTTAAAAAGAAAAAATGAAAAAGGTCGAAAAGCTATTAAGTACTCCCTCTGTCTCTAATTACTTGTTCACTTTTGAATTGACACACCTATTAAGAAAATGATTAATGACATAGTGAATTTACCATTTTACTACTATTAATTATGAAGTGGATGAAAAGTTCTACATTTTTCAAAGTAATTAATCATTTAATTGGAGATATAATAGGTAAAATAAATAAATTGTCATTTCTTTATTTGTCGAATTGGACAAGTAATTAGGGACAATTATAAAAGGAAAAGTGGACAAGTAATTAGGGAGAGAGAGAGAGTGTGATTTATGAGAGGAGCCAGCAGTTTTAAAAAAGAAAAAATGAAAATGTGTCAAACGGGTTTGATCCCGCGACCTGAGGCTCAAACATTTAGCTTTTTACCACGGGCACCACACGGCGGTCCGTCCCGTGGTACCCGGTTCCATTCCGATAGTCCCGCTACCGGTCCTGTTGCCAGCCATACAGTTGTTTCCACCCTTTTCTCAATATCAAATGACATCGTCGTGTCTGTTGATTATACACTCTCAAGAGAATTGTTGGACTGCCCCACAATGGGTAGCTTCACACGTATGTAAAGACTCAAACGGCGACCCCATGGTGATTTTCGCTAGGGATAGTGCTGGAGGCAATATAGTGTTTACTATGACGATGAGAGTTGGTTGCGAAAACTTAATTGGAAACGTTAACATCTCTTGGCCAACGGTTTTTACCTTGTGTTTTTTTCTTATAACGGAAAAATGAATATTTGATTCATTTGTCCTCAAAATAGATTACATAAAAATGTATTTTACTGTAATTCACCATGAAATTTATTTGAACACAATTTTTCAGTTATTGTAACTTAATTGTATGCATGTTTTCTTTGTTATATCCCCTCCACAGGGAGAAAATTAATAAGGAAAGTCAACTAGACATAAGGTTCATAATGAACTAAAAACAACTAACTATATGGTTCGCTTTTTCTTGTTTTGAAATATAATACTTCAGTTAAAAAATATCGAGATCTCAGTAGCTCAGTTTATTGTCTGGACTTTCATCTCGTTGATAAGGATTCGATTCTCTATTTTGTAATCTCCTCCCTATTTCCCCTTTCCTTACCTCCGATTTCTGACGTAATAAAAAAGACAATTGAAAAGCTAAAAATGTGGGATTACAATGGAATAAGTTTTTGATACATTACAAGAAATGAAAACACAATCATAATATCCTTAGAAGGAACATTAATCTAAATCCAAATGAAATAATTTATTTTTAAAAAAAATAAGGAAAGAGTATAGAACATCTATACAAATTTGAGTAAAACTGATGATAACCTTCAATTTCTGCTCTGATCATCTCTCTACTCTTCCTTTCTTAATAGGAAAAATAGGTGGTATTGCATTGTTTTTCCCCTGTCGGCAAATCGGCACATTAATCAAAGGCCTTACTCTTATAGTTGCTGATTTAGATCTCTCCAATCTTTTCTTAATCTTGTCCACTACATGTTTCTCTTTGCTTTCATCTGTGGGCGAAATTTCAGAATTCGCGCTAGAAGAAGAAGAGGATGATGAAGATGAAGATGAAGGTGATAATGAGGAAGGCCTTTGTTTTTGTTTTTTCAATCTTAATAACTCTTTCCATAATACAGTGCATGTTGGTGGTCTAGGAGATGGATCTTCATCGATAAACCAATTTACTGGCCTGCTCTGTTCTTCTTTACTATTCCCCTGTTTTTCATTCACTTGTTCCTCAGCATGCTCTGTTTTGAGACTAATCTTGTTGAGTTTTTCAGCATGGTGGATTTGCCAATAGGGAAGTAATTTGCCTTCGAAAATTAGCTCGTCGGCTGTTGTCATGTTTCCGGTTGTGAAATTGCTGGATAGGAACTCGAATTCTGCTGCATTAAGCTCTTTTTCGCGCTTTTTCTCTGGTTGAGAATTTGGACAAATGGATATGAAGTTTTTCTCATCAAGAAATTCTGAGGAGAAGGAAATTCGAGGACCCGAATTCGGATCAACAGATCTAGATGCAGTTTCTAAGGACATCATTTTTAGTTGTATCAGTAAAAGAGGAAGAGAAAATGGAGTAGGCTAAAGGTAAGAACAAGAATAGTTCTGCTTTATAAGGGGAGGAACACAGGGAAATAGTGTGCAAGTGTGGTCGAACTCAATAATTTTAATTTAGAGTTAATTTTTATTAGAAAAATCGTTAAATATATATAGAAGTGAAATTTACTACTACTACTTGATGTTACTGTCCTAAACTTTAGAATCCATGGGCATTTTTCTGTTCGCGCATAAAATTATTTTGAGATTAATTTGTCTCACATTTCAAATAGGATAAGCTAACACCAAAGTTTGAGGTATAAATTTATTTTTAAATATATTAGTAATATCATCAATTAAATAGAGTATGAATTAATTCTGAGATATTCATGATCTTATTTCGTGAATTAAACAATCTATAAGGGTGTGTTCTCTATTGAGAATGCTTTTTATTTTTCCATATTCGATTGATTAAAATATTTAGAAAATGAGTTCTCTAAAATTTAAAAAAAAGTTTCTTAAAATAGGAAAAATTACTTTTAAAAGTAAAAGTAGGAAAAACAAATTATATAAATGACATTATAAATTGATTTGGTTCTTCTCATTCTTCAACACGCATCACCTCTATCTCGTTATCCCATCCCCATCCCCATGCATTCATACCCCACCCCATCTCGCATAATATTGTCTAAACTATATATATATAAAAAAAAATTAACTTATATATCAAACACAAGAAAATAAATAAAATTTTACTTATTTTCTTAGAAAACATTTTCGTTCGTATCAAACACGCCCTAAATCCTTGCTCCCCATCTCTGGGGCGTCGTAGTGTGTTATTGAACTTCTGAACTCTTTTTAACGGTTCTTTAGTATATGCTAATAGTAAATATTTGGACGGTGAGAATATATATATTTAAACTAAGTGGTCTGGTGAAATAGAAACAAATGAGCTGTTTGCTGTCTTTTTTAAAAAAAAATGGAAAAGGCACATGCATGGACAACTTTGGTACGAAAAGAGAGATTTTTCTAATAGTAACATGGAATCTTATTATTGTCTTTAAAAGGATTCAATATTTATAATATAAGCATACAAGACAATAAAACAATTCTTCAACAAAAAAATTCCTAAGAATTTGATTTTTTTTCTTCTTTGGACTTTCGCTGTCTCCTTTCAAATTTTTTGGATCTCTCAACTCTATAGCCTATCTAGCATACCATAAGAAAATAGTTAGGGTTGTCAAACACAAAGTGAGGTCAATTAGGAGTCAATAATGCATATAAGAAAATTTTTAGAGATCATGATTTAAAATGGTAAGTAACGTTACGTTGGAAAAGAAAATATCTAAACATTGTTGATAAAGTTATTTGATATTTATATTAATCAAAACTCGATAGAATAGTCCAAATCTGCATGAATAATTAGCTAGAATATCACAATTAGTTATTAAAAAAAGATGTAGTAGTTAATTAGTGAGTAAAACAAATATTTTAGCAGTTTGACCCTACATAACCTAGCAGAGAGTTCATAATGACATAGGAGAAGTTATAGGCATGTGGGCACATGAGGCTAATTTTCAAACCATGTGATTGTTCACTTCCCAACAAAATTAAACAGAACATGCAGATCTTGGCTCTTCCTAAACTCCCTTTAAAGGGGATTCCTAATTATAACTAATTTTTTTTTATCGTAATTCATGTGACACACTTAATTTCTTGATATATTTTCAATAGAAACATTATATTTTATCTTTACATCAACTACGAGTAAATATTTTATGAGGTAATTATCCTTTAGCAGTGTTCACAATGTGTTAGATATCATGAAAAAGCTGGCATTAAGATTTGTATTTTGAAGTATTCCTGTCTAACCAAGACAGCTAATGAACATAATTAACTAGGGTGATAATCCTATAGATTAGTATTTTTATTTGTATAGGTGTTATGACAAATGTTACTTCTATTTTTTTTTAATGTTACAAAGTATCTTGCACATAATGGCTGTACTTAATATCTGAGGTTAACAATTAGGGGCGTAAAAAGAGGCGTATTCAGGATTTCGGCAAGATGGGTGTACGATTAGGAAAAAATACATCTTAAATATAAATTTGATCGGGTTGACTTTTAGGTTCTTAATATGAACCATTAAATTTTAAAAATTATAGGTCTAAAATATATAATACTACTAGTTTTAAATTTTAATATACACATTTGATTTAATTATATAAAAATTTTACAGTGCTAAAACTTTTAGAAACATTCAATGTAACACACTTGAAAATTTGAAAGATTAAAGGAAAAAAAAAGATAAATTAATTGAAACGTCAAAAGTGTAACCGATAACCACTTGGAGAGGTGTTACTCAAAATGATAAGATAGATATAAGACTTAAATTTTTATCCTCACTTAGAGAGGTGCACCCAATCATCATCATATTATTATATGATACTATGAACGTGGGTTCACACATCTATAATTAAATATTTTTTTTAAAAATATAACACTATTATATATGATCTAGAGAGGGGAGCATGGGTTCACGTGAACCCACGACACCCCCTCTAGATACACCCCTGGTAAAAAATGAGCATAAATATAGGTAACATGTCTTATTCTATAAAAAATTTAAGGGTTGGACTCAAGATAATTTTGAATTAGGTTCAATCTCAACCCATTTTAAGAGAATCTTCAATTTCAACCTGTTTTAAGACTCTTTATTTGCATTTATGATCTAGAGAGGGAAGCATGGGTTCACGTGAACCCACGACACCCCCTCTAGATACGCCCCTGGTAAAAAATGAGCCTAAATATAGGTAACATGTCTTATTCTATCAAAATTTTAAGGGTTGGACTCAAGATAATTTTGAACTGGGTTCAATCTCAACCCATTTTAAGAGAATCTTCAATTGAGTCCAAATTAATCTTCAATTTCAACCTGTTTTAAGACTCTTTATTTTCATTTATGTAATGTATGTTTCTATATCAAAGTATGAATTACTATATTTTATATTTTTTAGGATTTATCTATCCATTTGTAACTATTTTTTTTAAAAAAAAATTGAGTTGAAATTCAAATTGTGGTTGTAAAAGTTAAATAAATATGTTAAAATTATTGATATTAAGCGGGTCAAGATGCGCGGTTCATGATCCAACTCAATTTTTAGCTCATTTGAATCCAAAGTAAACTTGAGTGGATCAAGACCCAACTCGATTTCTATTTCAACCCATTTTAATATCTTTAATTTCAATTCAACCCGCCATTTGACACTCATGTTAACCATGGTCCTATGAATGAATACATGAGTGGCTCGATGGTGAAGGCAGTAAATGGTATTAGGACCCCAAAATATTGTGAGACAAAAAATTTGTTGAAATTATAATTTTATTTTCAATTAAAATGAAGATAGTAGAAAAAAGGTTCAAAATTATATATATAGAAAAGTTATCTTTATTTTTTATGAAAAGTATTTTAGAACTTTCAATCAAATAACTCAAGATTTTATATTAATAAATATTTTTTTTGTAATAACATCCAAGGTAATATATAGCAAACACATGACTAACATCTTATTAACTAGAATTAATCTCTTGATTTTATATTATCGTTCGATGTTAATTAAGAAAATTATGTTATTTAACTGTTTACCTTAAAAACAACATCTATGTAAAAGTAAAAAAACATAATTTTAAATTATTATTTTTTATGCGTGTTTTATATATTTAAGAATATTATTTTAAGCCATTAATTTTATTGATAGATCCTTAATTTATTATATAGAATATGACCAAGAAAAACGAATGTGAAAATTTTCTTCTCTAAAATAGAACCACTCGTTTCAAGATTGAAAAACTTGTAGTAATTTCACTACAAGAAAAGATTTCTTTAGCGAGGGGAAATTTAGTCGTTAATAGTCCAAATCTGGACGCTAATTGTCGATCCGAACAAATTTGGTTGTGCCGATCGTTAAAAGTTCCGACGTTAAAAGTTAATAGTTATGAATCAAATTGAAACTCGGTCGTTAAAAGTACATTTAACGACCATATAAATTCTAGTCGTTATATTTCCTCCTTAGCCACAAGATTTGCCTTTTATACAAGTACTTTATTAACGACCAAAATTTCTTTCATTAATTGTATATTAGTATCCACATCAATATTATTCGCGACTAAATTATCCATCCTTAATGACTATTTCGGTATTTTGTAATGTGTCAATTATATATATAAAAAAAAACTATTACCGGATCAATGTTTTAAAAAATTTCCTTAGAATTTGATTATTTTTTATTCTTTTGTTGTCTCCTTTCAACTAATATGTAAAAGTAAAAAATCACAATTCTAAATTATTATTTTTGTGGTGTATTTTATGAAAGTTCATTATAATGAGTATTTTGAACGATAAATAAAAATACTTTCACTCGGTAACTCAATATCCAAAAAAACACCTTAATTCACCTAGATTCTGCATTTTGAACACTTGATATAATGCTATTTTGACTTTCTTTATCGACTGCAGAGTGCTTCCACTATCCCACAAACACTAGGATGACTACCAAATCTTGTCCATCTTTTTTTATAAACAGAGAATGATCATATGGACTCGGATCAATAAAGCTAAATTGAAAAACAACTTTCAAGAACTTCTCATTCCATTGCCTTGGTGTTTGTTTGAGGCCATACACGAATTCCAAAAGTCTACACACATAATATATATAAGATGAAGTTTGTGAAATTTTATTTCTGCAAAATAGAACATGTGACTCGGCAAGATTGAAAAAGTTATAGATAATTCACCATTATGGTTTAAATAATACTACTGCCTTTCAATCTCATTTTTGTTAGGAATGCACGTTTATGATAGAAAAAGGGGAAGATATTGAAGAGTTTAACGTGTATGAGAATCAGTTGAGTGTAATAGAGATAACACACGATATAATTTGTATTTGTTGGAGCTTAATTAATTTTGATCGTAAAGCAAATTTGTCATGATCCGAGCCTACACCTTAGACGTGGCTGACACTCAAGAACCAT